CCTAACGGAGACACGCTCAGACACACCGATCGAATCTGCCACTAAGGGACGTCCTTCAAGTAGAATGAACACGACCCCGAAGGAAAGACTGCAGGTGTGCAGACAACGAAGAACCACAGAACTATGAATCTGTGCATCGACAGAAGGAACACTGGCCAGAAGGCAGTGCAACAAGACAGGAGAAACATCTGTGAAGGGTAGGTGTCTAGAGAATTATTCGGACAGCATCTAAGGCAGGTGCTAAAGCCCAGAAAGAGGTAAATCCATTAATTCAGGTCAGACTTCGACAAGTTCAGGGTGTATGGTGTGGTCTTTCGGGTAATTAGCTGGAGAGGGGAATGGCAACCTGTAACTACCCAGTGGACACAGGGGAAAAGCAGAATTACTGAAAATATCCAAACACCCCAAAGACAGAAAGAAGGAAGAAACAAAAGAACACAGAACAGGCCATCAATAGAAAGCAAACAGCAACAGGTAGATTTAAATCTAAACATATATTTAGGAGTTACGTTAGAAGAAAAGATGGGCACTCCCCCAGTCTCCCCCAGTCTCTTGCTACAACTCACGTCGGAAAAGATTTGAAGGAACATGAACTTTTCGGGAGGCAGAGGCTGCCAGGGGGAAACACTGCCAAAGGACCTTTCACTGCAGAGAAAGCAGCGCACACAGGCTCCAAGCGGCCACAGGGCAGGACGTGCCCCACGTCGCTACAAGACATGCACCTGAGAGGCAGCTCCCTGCAACTGAGGGCAGTGCCCCACGTGCCCGCGACACAGTCCTGCACCGATCCACAAGACAGTGGAGCATTTCTCATAGACTGTAAGCACAGGAGGACACGAAGACTCGCGTTTTAGAAAGCTCACTCTGGGCTGAGACAGAATTCATCGGAGCCTGGAGGAGGGGGTGCAAGAAAGGGAAAGTGGGAAGAGGTGACGAGTCAGGGACTGGCAGGGAAGAGGATATGGGGAGGAAGAGCGGGGTACAAGCCAGGCATGGTGACTCTGCGCATGTCGGACGAACGGAATAAAGTAGTGCCACGATGACGATCGTCAAGAAAACAACTGCCGTTTAGGACATTCAGATTACTTCTGGTGGCAGAGAAGTGCTCTTGACAAAAGTAACGTAATGAGAGATATTTCTCTGAAAGAGGCCAGGTATTTAGAGGGCTGGCCTGAAAGAAATTTGGAAAATCTAAACTGATTGTGTGGTGAGCCAGGAGTTAGAGAAAACATCAGTGGTATGGTTTCCATGTTTAATGGCATCAGGCAATAGCAGCTTGAGCTTAAATTTCAAAAAGAGGAAGTATGCTTAGCAGGACAAGCCTTCTCAGAAATCCCGGATATGCCGAAGAGTAAAGCAGAGGAGCAAACCCATATGGCAACTGCCACTGACAAGCTATTTTTAGAGAATGCGGGTATTTTCGTGGAGAAGAAAACGTAAAATGAACTACAAAAGTGTCTTTCACAAAACACACCTAACTCCAAATCTGAAATCTGTAGATTTCAGGAGATTAATACCTAAACCTACACACCAATCCGGTATTTCGAGATTTAAAACTCCAAACGTCCTTGCCACAATTACACTGTGTAAAGTTTAATGTGAGCATCTGACTATATGAAGTCCAAAACTTAGAACACCTTCCTATAACTAAATATTCCTTCTGGAACATTTATTCTACTAAACATCATGTCCTACAAATCACTCAGGATTCTGAAAGTCTATATATTAAGAAGTAGTAGACCAAACACAGGACAGATCACAGTTCCTTAAATGCCACAAAAAAACAAAGTGAAGCTCGTGGTGGAGCCACGACAGGGAGCAGGTGGGTTTCCACACAGCAGGCACAGCGATGACACCGGCACCGGGAAACTGCGCCGGCCACAATTTCAGACGACTGATTGGAATGGAAGAAAAATGCAAGTTATGGGAAACGAAAAAGAGACAGAGACCAATCTCTACTAACTACGATGGCAAAGCCGCACAAATAATGTTCACAAAAGACAGAATTCTGTCCAGGAGTCCCACGTTTGCTCACACAACACGACACGACAGCGAAGGGCGAGGCGTGAGCATCTTACTTCTGCAGAGCCATCTCCTTCTGCTGATACAGTTCGTTCAGAATCTCCACCTTCTGCCTCAGGGTTTTGCATTCGCCTTCCAGGCTGGCTTTGGCCGACTGCAGCGAACTGCGCTCCTCTTCCAATTTCTTTATCTGGTCTGTGAAGGATAAAACAGCTGGGCTGTGTGTGCACACGGGACTTGCAAACTGGGGGCGGAGGGATGCGAGAGGGGGTAAGAAACGCAGCACCTTCTTCTCAGGAAGCAGCCTACCTTCCAGGTTGCATTTAGTAGACATCGAGGCTCTAAGCTTAAATTGTAGAAGTTTTAGATCCTCTTCGACTACTGATATTGCAGTTTGCGTCTAAAAATTCCAAAAGAGAGACATAGTCTTACAAGGGAGGCACAGTGAGAATTCACAGGCACTCATGGTACTCCGCAAAAAAGATCATACCCGAGAAATGTCCATCATCTGCTTAATTTGATTTTTCATCTTCTCATTCCGGTCACCTAAAATACAAAACGCTTTAATTGCTTTTTCCTCCTTTGCTTTTTAAGTATATTTTCTTGATTTCTCCAAAAGTAAACAATTACAGTATTCAAACATTCAAAGGAAAACCAAATTAACCAATACAACTGATGAGGCTCCATGACTTTTAAGAGAATTGCAAACTTAGATTCAAAAAGTAAATCCCTAGTTTGCACAAGAAAAATGGTATCTGTCCCATTCTCAAACAAGAAGGGATGTGTGAATGAAGGCTCTTCTCTCTCAGGTCAGGTATCTTATTTATTATTATTATTTTTTAAATCTACTTGTTTGTTTTGAGAAAGAGCATGTGCGCGCACATGCACGCAGACACACACACGAGTAGAGGAGGGGTGAGGGGGCAGGGGAAGCACAGACAGAGAATCCCAAGCAGGCTCTCTCCTCACTGTCAGCACAGAGCCTGATGCAGGCTTCGATCCCACAAACTGTGAGATCATAACCTGAGCTGAAATCAAGAGTTGGACGCGTAACCAACTGAGCCACCAGGTGCCCCTCAGGTATCTTATTTAGAAAAGACTTACTGTCCTGTTCTCCCCTTGAATCTGCTACCAGGTGTGGTTGAAAACACCCACTATGCAAGCAATATCCAACTTGAAAAAGTGTCTAGAAACATGTCCCTCATCAGTAAACACTGCTACCCTTTAGCTCCACTCTCTGGGTCTCAAGTAGTCTATGGCTCCCACCACCTCAGTGCTCCTAAAATTGGTTGTAGGCCTTAAAACTGCAAAGCTACACAGATGATGGGCACTAAATTTAAATGTCATCTCCACGGCACTGAGAAATAAATTTCTCCTGCTATTCAGTGCTCAGTACTTGGAGGGGGAGTCACGACTATGCTGCTCTAGATGGAAAAGCAGAGTCTGTGCTCACGGCACACCCACTGCTATACCACGCCCCGCCACCCACCTCTGCCCAATGCACACAAACGTGTGCACAAGTCCAGTGATTTGCGTCTACAACTCTAACACTTACGAGGAAGTTCACTCAGCCAAAAAGAGCAGTGGTGTACTTAAAGACAGGAACACAAAAAGAGGTCCAACCTCCCTGAAACCCATCTTACCTCCCACTTCTCCATTTGCTAATTCATCCATCTCATTTCCTCCTTTATTCTGACCCTCAGATTCAGATTCACAATCTAAGCGATTCAACTGTGTAATGCAATTAGTCAAAGCCTAGAAAAAAAGCAAAGGGGTATTAGAAAGAGCCTCTCAAAAAGATTTCGTGGGAGTTCATGAGAATTAGGCATGTATTCAAGAGAATAAACTTACGTTAATATTATCATCTTTGTGAGTAAGAGCTACTTCCAAATTTTTCTGAGACTTCTCAAATGATTTAATTTGTTCACTGAGCTCAGCATGTGATTTACTCCAATCTTTGATTTCTTGCTGCAACTGAAATGTTAAAACACATGAAATTCCAAAGGCTAGGGCTTTTGCACTGGACATGTCAGGACCATGTGAATGACACAGGGAAGCAGGGGGCCATGCTACTCTTCACTGTCACTATGGACGGAGGCCTGGGTGAAGGGACAGGGGGCAATGGCTCCTACCCTCAGAACTGCAGTGAGAACATGAGAGTTGTCAAGGAAGTCGATCCAGTTTACTGTACCCTTCAGAAAACTGCAGCCACTTCAAATAATTCACTTCAGTAGGAACCCAGGAGCACATCTCCCTGTCTCCCATGTCCACTGCAGGTCATGTAACCTTCCCTTGGTCAGTGAAGCAGTTAATTGCTCAAAGGAGGGTTATGAATACCAAATTCTTTGGTCAAGAAGCAAATCCATCATCCCCCTGAGGCTATTCAAGTTAGTAACTGGTTGGTATTTGACAAGGAAAAGACTAAACACTCTGATAGCTATAAGGAATTGTAGAGAACAGAAAATCCAGAACAGATGGAGGATATATACATGAATTCAATTTTGGGAGCACAATTTAAACTTTGCATATCTAAGAATAGAGTTCTGCATACATATTTCATTTCCCTAAAAAAAGATCTGAAAAAAGATACTCAAGAGGTAATGATACTCGGTCCCCTAGTTCACATAATCTAGGATGTTAAACTTTCCTTTACCTGCTCTTTCTTCTTCTTAAGCCTAGCATTTTCTTCTTGAACCCGATGGCATTCAGACTTCACCTTCTCTTCGCTAAGTTTAGCTTCATTAAGAGCAATCTGAACCTAATGCAAAACACTATTAGTGAATTAATTCCAAAGGGGAGGTGGGGTGGGGAGGTGTTACACTTTCTCAATTAGACATCATATAGTTTTCATTTATTGCATATCTTAACAAAAATCAAATGTCTGCTCCTCAACAAAACTAAGGCACGCAATCCTGCAGAAATTACAGACAGCTTTACCTCTGAAAATTCGGAGGCATTCACTGAAATAACATCCTTTAACTTCTCTATAGACTTCTTGTTTTCCAGAATCTGCCATGTGGAAAAAGAACACACACAAAAAAATGTGGTAGAATTTTAGTAGAAGAGTGGGATATATGCTAAAAAGATGAAACATCATTCCAGGGCCATCCCCTACTTCTCAGGTAAAAGCAGGTGATTCACTTTCAGCCGAGGAGAAAAGTCAAGAAGGTAAAGAGGTAAGGAAAGAAAAAAATAATCGGAGCTCTATCACATGCCATCCACAACCTTCCCGACTGTGAGATAACGTGGTAGATGACCAGATCAAAAAGGGGAAAGAAAAAAAGAAAGAAAAAACAAACTTTCACATAATCTAGTTCAAATCAATGGTTTTTCCTATTGGTAGGGGAAAAAAAATCCCCAAGGTCACTTTAAAAATTCTCTTGGGGCACCTGGGTGGCTCAGTGGGTTAAGCATCCAACTTCCACTCAGGTCATGATCTCGCAGTTCGTGAGTTTCAGCCCCACGTCGGGCTCTGTGCTGACAGCTCAGGCTGGATTCTGTGTCTCACTCTCTGCCCCTCCCCTGCTTGCGCGCTCTCTCTCAAAAATAAACTTTAAAAAAAAAAAATTAAAAATCCTCCTGCCTGAACTGAAAAATGGTTGGCCTTGAGGCAGAATACACAAATAAATCTCACTTATAGAATTCCAAATAATTTGTGAAGATACTGCCTCCTCAAGGAGGTGGTGCCTACTCTTCAGGCTCTCAGCTGGGGGCCGCGTGCAGTCCCTTCCTTCCAAAGAGAACAGCACACCAAGAGTGGGAACTGGTGAACAGATCGGAGAAAGCTGGCAAATACCGGATCAACCCGGTGCACAAGCTCGACTAGGTGTGCCGTGTATGGGAACCCCCTAGACCAGCACTGCAACCTTTCTGAAATTCTAAAACTGTTCTAAAAGGCTTGTTTTAAAAAGGATCATGCAAAACAAAAAAAAAGTGCTAGAACTGTTCGACTGGGCTACGCTTTCTTAGTTGTTCCATATGTTTCAGAGGGCAGAGCCAAGCAATACAAAAATTACCCAGGGCTAAGAACACAAATACTTCTTAGAGCCACAAAAATAACAACTTGTGGTACTAGCATTTAAGATTCTATGAAGACGGATGGGTGTGGGTTCAACTTCCCTGACTCCCACTCTTCCTTTAGTTAAAGCATGGGAAAATGCAGAGTTTAATTCACCCGCCCCTACATGGCAGTTAGACAGCAAAATCACAGTAATGCCTTGCAGCAAAACTTTACCAAGTCCTGATTCTTTGCATTCTGTTCTCTCTCGGATTCTAACATAACACGCAGATTTTTTGCTGTATCATCCAGAAGTTCATTCGTTTCTTCAAGTTTCTTGATTTTATCCTATTAACAGACATTAATAGTAATTACTCACTATTTTTCTTTTGTTTTTAGAATGTAATCTCAAAAAGAGAAAGGATTTTTACCTTAAATTTAACTGCTTCATCAGACAGAATCATATTCTGTTTCTTGGTTTCCTGAACATGTTTCTTTGATTCCTTGATCTATAGAAAATAAAGCACTCAGAATTAAGAAATGTAAATCACAGTGCTATCCAAACATACCTCTGAGTAGGTAACCCCTTAGAGAAGAAAACAATACTTTACACACAGGATGACTACTTCCGATTTGGATGGTTTGCAGGAAATAATGAAATTTTAAAATAACCATAATAACTGAACTATGATACAGGAAGAAATAATCCAAGCTGGAATCATGAGGGAATATACTGAAATAAATACTGAAAGAATAATTATACCTTCTGTTCATAATTTGACAATTTTTGTACAAGTTCTGCATTTTCTTTCATGATATTCTTCAACTTCTCAGAAATCTGCTGTTCAGTGACTAGAAGGGAGGGGAAATCCATAAGATTACTATGATCACTAAATAAAACTGAATTACCCAATGTATCAGCAGTATGCTACCTAGCACTATGAAGGAAAAGGACTCCCGAACATAACTATTATGCCTTTAAAAAAGCAATCTGTAGCTGACAGCAATAAGGGTATAAAAATACTACTAAAATTTAAGAAAAATATGATAAGGACCTTTATTTCAATGAGAAACTCCAATTTAAATTTATTTCAAAGATAGGAAGTAGAATAAAATACTTCAGCTTGATATCCTTCCCTTTATGAAGTACCTTTCTTCTTAGTAAATGTGATCATTTTGGATACATGTCATTTGCAAAAAGAAAGAGACAATAAACATAAGCACGTAGATTTACATCTCTAGTCCTCAAATTACCTTCCTAAGTAAATGTATAGTGTTGGTTACACCGTTAGCACAGGAATACTGTTCACATTGACACGTCTGCCCCAAATCAAACTAGTCATCTTCTTCCTACTCCCACAATTTGTCCCATCTCATCTCCTGTTTCATTTGGTGGCATCACCAACTACTGTGTCATCCAAGCTAGCAACCTGGATTAGTAAAATGTTCAGGAGTGAATAAGTGAATCAGGCATCAGAAGTCATTGTTATCTACTTCTAGCTTACATACAGAATCAACTCAGATCAAACACCAATACTGGGGGAAAAGTACAAGTAACAAAATAAGCCTAAATATTTACCTTGATATACTCTATTCTTTACCTAGAAGAAAAAAAAAATTAGATGTCAAAACATTAATAGAAATATTATAGTATTATATAATATTACAGAAATAATATATACAAGTCAAATCATAACTAAATGAAAATTTAATAACAGGTTCAAAATAATAATCTGTAAGATTAAAAGTAACAAAAGGTTAAAAAGCATTTCAAATCTAATTGGTAGTGATACCTCATAGTTTCTGATAAATAAAAGCACTAAAGTGAATACCTCATTTTGCAACTAAAGGTATTTTTATCTATTAAAAGAGCACCAATCTTATTAAATAAGCACTTAACATTAATAGTGGAAATGGGTCTTTTCATATTAAATACACTAATGCTTCTTTTACCTGAAATCATTCATTTGACAACCCCAAACAGCCAGAATGAGGTCTAGAAACAATGATCATTCAAAGAGACTCTCAGGAAACAAGATTAAAGGCATAATCTTTGTACTAAGATAACGTCTCTTTCTCTCACCAGAAAACATCTTAAATCCTATTAAAAGTTGGCAACTGGATGGGGCACCTGGGTGGCTCAGCCAGTTGACTGTCCAACTTTGGCTCAGGTCATGATCTCACAGTTCATGACTTTGGGCCCCACGTTTGGCTCTGTGCTGTCAGCACAGAGCCCACTTCGGATCCTCTGTCCTCCTCTCTCTCGCTGCCCCTCCCCAACTTGTGTGCTCTCTCTCAAAAATCAATAAACGTTAAAAAAAAAAAAAAAAGTTGGCAATTGGCTGAGTTTAGAAATCTAATAAACTAGATCATCTCATTTTCCCAAATCTTTAAACACAGTGGTCCTCAACCTAAAAGGGAAAGAAGACTGCTAGAGGAAAATTCACGAACAAGAGAAATGACAACTGACCTCTACCTCATCTCTAAAGATAGCATTGAAGTATAGGGTTATAAAATCTAAGCGATACTCAATTCGTTTTAAATTGTATCACCGAACGTCTTTGTGACCCAGAATTTATGTCCACGTTCAAAAGTTACAAAATGGTAATGAGATACCCAAATCAGTCCATAAATCATCCATGATATCTTATTATTAGAGTATCTAACACCACTTCTAATAACGTCATTATAGGAAAATGCAGTCCGAGTTCCAACATGGAAAGCAATGGCTGCTTCTCTAATGTCACAGCCTTGCTAATGAGAGACTAAGCTTCTTTTGCACCAGATTTCTTTTTCACCCAGATCAGCAGGCAGGAGGAGGCAGGGAAGAAGCAGGAGCCAAGCAAATTAAGAGCAGGGCCCACGGTTCCAAAGTCAAACATAGAGGCTGAGAAGCAGCAGTTAGGACATAAAGCCCGCCTCACCCTGTGAAAACGTAAACAGGTTTTAGGATGTTTTAGATGGGAGAAACAAGAGTGGGAAACAAGAAACATTTTCGCCTTTTCCCCCTTCCACTCGTCCTCTCAATGCTCCCTTTCTCCTCTCATCTGAGGAAAAGTCCTGTGAGGTTAAAAGACTCTTCACAGGAATCCAGGCAAAAGACCTTTCTTTTTAAGTGACTTTACCATCACTTGTGCAACGAGAGAAAGTCTATGAACAATGATATGTCTGATAAAACGAAGAAATCAGAAAAATACTCAAGTTTAGGAAGACACGCATCCAATACTTTTGGCTACTTTAACTATTAAGCTTCAACTGAAACTGAAAGCTTGTCATCTGGAAAGCTCATTCACACAGAATGGTTTTTTTCTCCAATTACATGATAACCATGAAACAAAATGAAATATAGTCACAAGTACAAATATGCATAAGTGTACACACATACACACATGGATAAGCACCAAAGACCGATTCTGCACAGACAGAGACTCCAAGGAATAAAAATTTTAATAAGTATTTCTCTGGACACTAACATAATCTGTATTTCTAAATAAAAAGATCTTCTACGGGCACAATTAACACATGACCAAATCAGAAAATCTGTGAAACAGATACAATTGGAAAAAGACTGAAAAATTACCTAGTGTCCTAGATACAAATATTTCTTTTACTATTTTGTTGTTTTGTAGCATTTTTTTGTTTGTACATGTATTTATATAATATACATTTACCTATACTTTAAGGTCTTGATTTCCGCTTTTTTCCACTTAATATTAAACTGTGAGCATTTTCTAGGCTCCAGTGTCTTTGAAATACATACAGTTAGAGTTACCTAGTATCTCATTATACGGATATACAAGAATTGAACAATTCCCCTACTATGAATCGTTTAGTTTGTACCAAGTTTTCACTCTAATAAATAGTGTTCCACTGAACACCCTTACACAAGATTTTTAATGCATGATTAGTTATTTCCTTAGAATACATTATAAGACATGGCAATATATTATAATAAAAGGATATGAAAATTTTAAGGATTCTGATATATACTATTTAAGTGCTTTTCAAGATAGCTGTAAAAGTTCCCAATTCATTAGAAATGTACAGGGGCACCTGGGTGGCTTAGTTGGTTAAGTGTCCAACTTCAGCTCAGGTCATGATCTTGCAGTTAGTGGGGTTAAGCCCTGCGTCCGGCTCTGTGCTGACAGCTCAAAGCCTGGAACCTGCTTCCAATTCTGTGTCTCCCTCTCTCTCTCCGCCCCTCCCCCCACTCACTCACACTCTCTCTCTCTCTCAAAAATAAACATTAAAAAAAAAAGTTTAAAAAAAAGGTATATAAGTGCTCAAGTAGGTATACATACACTTAACCTTTAGATTTTTACCTAAGATTCATAAATTGAAGTTTTCCCATTAAGATTAAGTCTTTGCTAACAAAGATTACACTGAATTATTTCACAAGATTAATTTAGATTATAAGCATTTGTGTTCATGTTAGTAGCTGAAGAAAAAAGCAAAAGGGCCAATGATTATAAAATATCCTTTGTCTTGATGCGTCAAGGCATAAGTTTAATTTACTCACAACAAGGACAGTTCTCCAGAAGAAAATGGCAAATGACACGATTCCCAAGAAGGCTGTGATAAGTACAGGCTTCCATGGCAATCCATAAAAATCAGGCCCAGGCTGAACATCATCAGGCAATGTAGCAACCAACTGAAACAGAAATATTAGAAATAGCAAACCATGAGGAAATTTACAATAGAGCAGTCACAACGAGTCATCCACAGAAATTCGAAATGAATCTCCATGAGAAAACTTCTCCATCAAAAATCTTCAGTCGCTTCCACTGCTTCAATAAAGCTGGGATACTGGCAGCCCATTTCTTGTTTGGCATGAAGTGTTTCTGAATATCATGAAGCTAAATGTCTTTAAGCTGAACATGTATTTCCACTTTACAATAGGTCTTACCACATCATGTTGTCTAAGACCTGTCTAGAATCTCTGGATCATACTTTCCTCTTAGCTAATTTTTATGAGTTAAAAAGCCACATGAAACAAAAAATTGAACACCCTAGAGAAATAATCACCTTTCGTGGCTGCAAATAAAACCAAAATGATAATGAATAACACAAATGATGTTTTTCCTCTAAGATTTTAAATCTTAATTCTCTTCTATTCTTATATAAAAACAAATGCTGAGTAAGCTCAGACAGCTCCTGATAACTGGTCTAGACCGCTCTGATTAACCATCTTCTACATAACCCAAAGCCTTTCATTTAAATGTTTCCTGGAATACAACTGTGTTAAACACCTGCCGGCTTCTATACTTTGACTGCCCTCTACGAATACACAAGTAACTATCACACCGGCCCCATTCCCCAACAGTGCCGGGGTCGCTGGAAAAGGACCCGAAGAAATCGTGACCGCAAACGAGAAAGTAACACAATGCCTGGTACAATTTAAGTAATCAATAACAAATGAGCAAGTGATGAAACCTGAAACACACTCCCCCTTTCCTCTCTAAACAGCACTACAACGCCTCGCCTGCCTCGGGCCTGACCCCACTCCGTTTCTCCCTCCCCCGGTCAGCGCGCCCACTCCGCTCAGAACTCGTCTACCCGCCTGCCAGAGCTGGGGTCCCTCCCTGGGAGCGGGGACCGTCACCTCCAGTAGCTTGGCTATGAGGGCTGCGTAGAGCACCGACAGGGGTCCCAGAAGTTCCGGGTCCCCCGGGGAAGCGGTGACAGAAGGCACAGTGGCAGGAACTGAATCCATTGTGTGGGGAAGGCCGAGCAGAGGCGACGTTTCCCCGTGAACAGCACTGGGACCCCCTCCCCTCTTTCACCGTTTCCTCCTTCGGAAAGGAGCCGGCTGAGGAGGCGGACACCGGGAGTGAACTTCGCCTTCCCCCCGCCGCTGGCACTTTCCCCCAACGCCTCCTGGAAAACACGTCATCAGACACTGCCCCTGAGAGGCCGTAAAGGCGCCTACGGAGGCCGGCCCGCAGTGGGCGGGGCCACGGCGGCACAAACCAATGGCGGAGCGAGGCAGCGAAGAGCGAACAGACCTGCGCGGAAGAAGAGGGAGGCGCGGCTCTTGGACGCTCACCTGCCACAGGAACTGGGGGAGACCGCCTGATTTAAAGGGCCCCGGGGGCTATGAGGAGGAGCAGGGGCTGGGGACAGACCCGCTACTCACGCCCCTCAGCCACTCACGCCCCTCAGTGCCGGCCTTGTGTCACTGCGTGCCGGGACCGCAACCGCACGCATCTGTCCTACAGCCCACGCGGGAGAGCAGCCTCTCCCGCCCCCTAGTAAGGACCGGGGCTGCGCCTCGGTCCCCTGGGCCAGGCTTCCTTCCCCGGCATCTCCAGTGCCCCGCTCAACTTGTCCCCTTCCTACGCCACGAGCTGGCCGGCCCACACTCTTGCTGATGCCCCGTAATAACGCTGCTTCTAAGGAGCCACGTCATTACGCACCATGCGAAAGGGTTCAGTTCTGGGTTCCGTACTTTACAGTGATGTGCCTTGTGGGAAAGGGCGAGGATTATATATAAACTCCTTCTAAAAGTTGTAGAAAGTGGGGACATTTACCCTGGAGGGAAAATAATGTTTGCAAATCTTTAAAGGTACATCTTCAAGTTTAATATAACGTCAATTCGGAAGAATAATCAAGAAAATTCTGAAAACGAAGAGCAATGGAGGGGAGGTGGAAAGGGAGGGGAAGGCAGGCTCTGCAATTAAAATATTAAGTAAGGTACTGACCCAAGAATACAGATTATGGAACAGAATAGAAAATCCAAAAATACACCCAACTGCATTAAAAATTTGGTATATAATACGTCAGTTGGGGGGGGGAGCCTTTTTAATAAGCAGTATTAGCATAACTAAATAAACCATACGGAAAATGATAAAATTGGTTTTCATAATAAGTTACAAATGATCAGACACCTGATTGTAAAAAAAATGAAAACAAGTACTAGGAAAAACATGGGTAAATTTCTCAATGTATTATGAACAAAACCTTTCCAATTATGTCTCAAAATCCAAAAGATTTGCAAACAACTACTTAAAAATAAAAAAAAATTTGTCCAGCCCCTGCATACAAAAAATGCAGAACAAGCAGTTTGACGATGACAACCTGAGAAAACATATTGCAACATTAGAGACAAAGGGTTAATATTCCTAAAATATAAACCGTACAGATAGAGAAGAAAGCAGCCAACAAACCTACAGAAAAATGGGCTGAAAAATTGAACAAACAGTTCTCAGGAAAAGACCTAGGAATAGCTCACAAGCCTATGGAAACATGCTCACACATAATAAAAGACCTACAAATTAAACCTACACTGAGATACCATTTCTTATCCTGGCAAGATCTAAACATCTGACAACATACTCTGCTGGTGAGAGAATGTAGGAGAATATTCTACACATACATTGCTCATCATTACACAAGATGATACAACCTCTGTGAAAGGGAATTTAGCAACATCTCCCCAAATTACTCATGTATTTACCTTTTGATGTAACAATCTCACTTCCAAAGATCTCAAAGATACCGTGTGTACAACAAACGGTGAAAAGATAATATGCACAAAATTATGTTATCCCAGCATTTTTACAGTAACAAAAGACTAGAAACAACCAAAATGTCCATCAATAGAAGAGTTGCTGAATACACTAAAGGAAACTGTGAAACTGGAAAAAAAAATTAATAGATTTTATATACTGCCAGAGTATGATTTCCCGAATTTTTTTTTTAAAGGGGTGGAGAAAAATACATAGAATACTACTTGTATATTAGAAAGTAACAAGGGACAAATATATACATACATACATATATATATGTTTGTTTTTTTTACGGCTCTGAGATAAAATTCACATGCAATAAGCTACACAAAGTGCAGTCTGGTATTCATATGGTGACATATGAATACACCTGTGAAACCCCGATCACATTCAAACTGAACGTACCCTTCACCTCCACAAGTCCTCTCCTCCCCTTGGTAATCCTACCTCCTGCCACTTGCTGACTGGGCCCAACCCCACGCCAAGCAGAATTTCTATAATAGTTCACATTTCCTGCAGTTTTATATATGGAATACATAATACACCATCTATTCTAATTCTCTGGCTTATCTCAGCCTAACTGGAGATTCACCCATGTTGCTCCCATACATCAATAGGTTCTCATTGCTTTTTATTGCTCAATAGCATTCCATTGTATGCATATATCACAGTTTGCTTATTTATTCAGCTATTGATCTGCGTTTGAGGGTCCCCCCACCCCCGCCAATTTTTGGCTTTTACAAATAGAGGGGCTATGTATATTGACATACAAGTCCTTTTATGGATGTAGAATTTATCAGGGGTACATGCTTAGCAGAGGGATGACTGGATCATTTGACATCTACTTTTTTAAGAAGCCGACAAATGGTTTTCCAAGGTGATGTGCCTTTTACACACTGCCCATCAGCAGTGTGTATTTCCAGCTCCTCCACACCTTCTCCCATACTTAGTATTTTAATCACTTTTTAATTTTAGTCAACCTAATAAGCATATAGTGATAATTCATGGTGGTTTAAATTTGCATTTCCCTGAGAAGTAATGATGTGCATTTTTAAAATGTGCTTATTTCCTATGCACATATCTTCTTTGGTGAAGTATTACTTTACTGAGTTATTTTTTATTAAGTGAGCTTTGATATTTCTTTATATATTCCAGATAGAAGTCCTTGTTCAGGTACATACTTTGTTCTCTCCTAGTCTGTGGCTTGTCTTTTCATTCACCTAATAGTGTATTTTGGAAAGCGTAAGTTTTTATTTTGATGAAATCCAAATTATCAAATTTTTCTTTTATGAATGAATCCTGCTGTTTGTATCAAACCTAAGAAATCTTTGGCTTAATTTTTTTTCTAGACGTTGTATAGCTTTAGGCTTTACATTCACTTCTATGAAGCATTTTGAGTTAATTTAGGTTTGACTGAGGTATGGTTCAATTTTTTGCACAGGGATATTTATAATAGTTCTAGTACTGTTTGTTGAACAGACTTCTCTTTCTCCACTCTGTCTCTCCTCCTTTGTCTGAAGCCCACTGCCAGGTGGTATGGATCTACTTCTGGGTTGTCTATTCTCTGTTCCAATAATCTTTTTGTCTCTCTTTACACTGATACCATGCTCTCCTAATTACCACAGCTTTATTCTAAGTCTTGAAATCAGGTCATGTTTATGCTGTTCTAGGCCCCTTGAATTTTCCATATGAATTGTACAATCAGCTTGTTGTTTTCTAAAAAAAAAAAAAATCCTGGTGAGACTTTGATCAGGATTACGTTGACTCTGGGGATCACACAGGGGAGCTTAATATTTGATATACCGTTTGTCACAGTGACAATATGATAGCATAACAATATTCAGTCTTCTCTTGAACAATGTATATCTGTCCGTGCATTTAGGTCTTCAATTTATATCAGCAGTATTTTATAGTTTTCAACTATAGGTCTCACAGTTTTACCAGATTTATCCTTAAGCAATTCATATTTTTTGATGCTATTTTGCACTGAAAGGTTTTTTTAAATTTCAATTTCCAATTGTCTGCTACAATTTTACTCCTTCCTTCCCAACCTGTATGCTTTACTTCTTTTTCTTGCTTTAATACACTGGTCATTGCCTCACTGTGTCCCACTATAATGCTAAACAGGTGTGGTGAGAGTGAACATCCTTGTTTTGTTTCTGATCATAAGGGGAAGCATTTAATTATTCACCATTAAGTATGACGTTAGTTGTGAGTTTTTCATAGAGGCTATTTTAAGCCCCTGTCTATTCCCAGTTTGCTGATTACTTCTTTTTTTTAATATCTGTAATCAACATTGGATTTGTTCAAATGCTTTTTCTGTGCCTGTAGAGCAGAACATTTGGAAGTTATTTTTAAAATGTGTTAATATGTGACTTACATTGATTTTCTAATGTTAAATGAACCTTGCATTCTTGGGATAAGCCATACTTGGTCATTATGTATTATCATTTTTATAGATTATTGGGCTTGATTTACTACAATTTTATTTAGAATTTTTGTGCCTATGCTCATGAGAGATACTGGTCTGTGGTTTTCTTTTTTTGTTATATCTTGGTCTGGTTTGAACTGTGATGTATTTTCTCATCTTCAATTCTCTAGAAGAGTTTATATAGAATTAATACTATTTCTTCCTAATATGTTTAACTGAATTCACCAGTGAAGCCATCTGGACCTGGAGTTTTCTTAGCAGAAAGGTTTTTAACAAAAAATGCAATTTCTTTAATAGCCCTAAGGCTTGAGTAGGCTTTTGCAATCTGTGTCTTAGATGGAATTTCTTCACCTCATCTAAACTATCAAATAAACAAATTATTCATAACATTCCCTTTTACTGTTTTAATTTCTGTAGAATCTGTAGTGATGTTCCTGTGTGATTGCAGATCTTGGTAGTTTGTGTTTCCTCTTTTATTTCCCTGATCACTAGCTAGTGGTTAATCAATTTTATTAATCTCAAAGAACAGCTTTTGTTTTCATTGGCTTTCCTTTTTATTTTCTATTGAGTTATGCTCTTTATTTCTTGTCTTCTGCTTCTTGAGGATCAATATGCTCTTCTTTTTCTAGTCTCTTATAGTACAAACTGAGGTCACTAATCTGAGATCTTTCTTTTTTTCTAATATATGGTGCTATAACTTTCCAAGTAATGCTTTACTGTTATTGCACAAACTTGATATGCTGTTTTCATTTTCATTCTGCTCAAAATACTGAT